TTAAGGTATGTCCGTTAATCACTGCTATAATTGAGAAATAATCTTAGGTACGTCCGTAAGATTTAATTCCCCAATTGCCTTACGTATTAGAGGAGCCCTATTCTAACCAAATAACGCACTATCAGGATTATTTTAAATTAGCCCATGTATTCCCTTGATACAAACCCAATCATGCCAGTTGTCACTATTTCAAGGCAATGAAACAATTACGGATTTAATGCCCTAATTGACTATAGGTTACTAAATCAATTCACTATCTCGATCCAAGATAATCAATCAATTTAACAACTAATAGCACTGCAATCGGAGAATATGTAAATACCAATAAATAAGAGGAAAAGATAAAATTAAATCGATCTCACAATTTTTAGACAAACCAAAGCATCAGTTATTTCTTGACTAGAAAAGAAAATTTAGTTCATTCCTAATGCGAAAGACCCACGCGAGAATTCAAAAATAATATTCACGGACATCGTCTTGATCCAGTAGATTCAATTGCGTTGGAATAAGGATAAAAAACCAAACTACAGAGAGTGATTCATTGTTTTGTTTCGTCTGCACTTTTTCTACACATACGGAAGAAGAAAAACAACTAAAGGATGAAAAAAGAAAAGTCAAAGAAAGCCACCCAAAGTAGTGCTTGGTCTCTACCATCCTATTTCCTATCTAATTACTACTTCCCTTCTGCGGCTGCCTAGAGGAAGAAAGAAAAGGAGACTCCAGGTCTTGTTCCATCTCCTCCCTTTTCGGCAATTCCCCAAAAGTAGAAAAGTTCCTCCGTTTACCAAAATGCCCCTGGAATGAGGACCGCTACTTGAACTCATTTCCTGATGACTGTCAAATTGACACTTGTTATGGTATTTGCGTTCCACTCCCTGTAATAAATGCAAATTGTCAAAAGTGAGTAAAATTTGACAATTAATTTAAATCGGGTCAGGTAATAGGGGAAATTAATTATAAAATAAATGATAAAATTGTAACCTATCACTTAGAATAACTAGAAATAAAACAAAACAAGAAATGAAAGAAATAAGAGGGGTAGCATAGACATTTTGGATTTTTCTGTTAATTTGGATGATTTCCACCCACGGTCTAATTTAATCCAAAACACAAATGGATTATGTGGAGGTTTTTAAACAATGAGGGAGTATCATGATCGAATTCTAAAACACAAAGGGGATTTACTATATTTTACTCTTAAATTTTGGTTTCATCTCATAGCATACAAGAGTACTATTTCACTGTCTGTCGACAAAGATTTTCTATGGTTGATGTACCATAGGAAAAATCTGCCTATACCATCATTTGGAAAAATTATCAATCCAAACATAGCCACCATAGCATTTTTTCAAAAACACAAGATGGAAAATTGTCCCCTTAAACGTTGAAATTCATGATCTTTCCTCGACCTAGTCTACTTGTCAATTCTTGAAAAAAGAATAGTCACGCCTAAAACACGGCCTCTTCATCTGCAGAATTCTAAAAAGTTAGGTAAACTCTATAAACAAGTTGATAGGTACAATCGTACCCAAGATCAAGTACAGGTATTTGTACATTCACTGCTGCAATAACTAATCTGATGACTTACAAACACATCATGGTCAATCGTTGAATGGTAATGAGTCTTTTGTTATGCATTAGTATTAGTGTGTACACTCTAATAGATTGATACTTATACACTTTAAATTATCATAATAATACCCTTAATTAACTTTAACTCTTAAAAAGAATACGTGTTAATACACGAGAGTGTGTAATAGAACGGCAAGCATTATGGTGGTCATTGAGCAACTTATAGGAGAAATAGTCCTATAAGCTGTTCAATGACCAATCACAACTTGCTAATTGGATGACTAATATAGCTCTAGCTGTAATGTTTTAATTAAATTCCATCACTAACGTTGGGATGACTTTTTAACCAAAAAAAAAAGCCTTAGTTCAAGCTCTTCCCTTTATTGTGCATTTTTTAAAACATTTGATAGGCACTGCAAATCTGTCATTTTGGACATTTTATTATTAACTAACCATGAAAGCCGTGGACATCAACCCATATCCAACAGAATATTAAATTAATATTAGAAAAAATTATTAAGTAATTGGAAAAAAAAAAGAAGAGACTAATTTTCATTGAAACCCACCGACAAACTATACGTGTCCATAGCTTTTGATTAGTGCATTCAACGTTTAATTGTATAGTCCAGTTCATAGCCGATTACATGGAGTAAAGATTGTGCTCTTTCCTTTTTCACCCCTTTTGGAATCGATACTGTGGAGAATTGGGTTTTTCCCTCCTTTTTTTCTTTTCTTTCCTTCTGTGCTTTGCAAAACATAGGTAAAAATATGAAATCCGAAGCATTCTTTAATTGGGATTAAGTATTGTTCTTGAAATTAAAAAGAAGAAAGAAAGAACAACAAAAATCCCAATCTGGGTTGATTGTTGAGCTCTAGTTTGGCGGCATCGTGCTTCCATAGAAGTTCTCTTAGTGTGATACGCTGCTTTCAATCAGTTTAACACGGGAAAAAGAAAAGACATGAAAAGCAAATTTTGTGGGGATAATTTCAGAAATCTCTCCTGAAGTTTTTTACTATTTTACTGGCCTCCTTTCAAATTTTAAAAATTACACTAGTCTTCCTTGAGATTATTTATCTTGTAACATTTAGGTCCAATCAATAATTAAAAGATGATATTATGAGAGAGAAAAAAATATGATTTTATCATTGCCCCCATCTTACTACATTATTGAATTAATTTAATAGCAACCCACACATTAAAGAAAAATACTAATATTTGCTGTTTTTCATTGAAGATCAAATCACATGTGCCATAAAATATAGTATATCATTTTATATATTTCACTTAATGTAAGATCCAAATTATTCTTTTCAATTACAAATCCATTGTTATTATAAAAAAAAAAATAAACTTTAACATCATAAATATTCTTATCAAAATATTAAAGTTAGTTACTAAAATTTTTATGGTGTTAAAGTTCACTCTTTGTAATATTTATGGGTTTGTAATTGAAAAGAATAATTTGGATCTTACATTAAGTGAAATATATAGAATGATATACTATTTTTTATGGCATATGTGATTCAATCCTTGATGATAAAAAGCAAATTCAAGTGTTTTCTTTAATGTTTGTGCTGATATTAGATTAATTAAATAATTTAGTAGATGAAAGAAAATAGTGAAATCATATTATTTTTTCTTTCCTAATATCACTTTTTAATTATTGGTTGAACTTAGATATTACAAAATAATAAATCTCAAGGGAGATTAGTATAATTTTCAAAATTTGGAGAGAAGCTAATGAAATAATCAAAAACCTTAAGGGAGGTTTACAGAATTATCCCAATTATGTGGGAATTAGAATAATTGTACTGGACGGCACTGCTGCAATAGAGGGAAAGAGGAGAAGGTGCAGTTAACTTTTGTTGTTTGAAATCCTTGGCGAAATATTACAGAAAGACAGATAAAACGGTGGTTAGTACATAAATGTTTATGACAGGGAAAATGGTACGTCTGTTAATCACATTTGAAACATTTTCATTGGTGAATGACCAAAAGTATCAGGCTTGTCCAATAGTTGATCATTGACCAAGATAAAACCTGCCATGGTAGAGCCGTAGAGGTACGATCTTTTCGTACCTCTTAGTGCACAGGACATTCCTTTGTTTCATCTAGCTAATAATCTACCAACTCATTTCTTCACAAATGCACCTTTTATGGTCACGTCTACGAAAGCCTTTACAGGATCTTTACCCTAAAAATCAATTCACCGACTCCCATTTGATGTCAGAAATTCTTCTACTTTACTCCAAGATTGACTGTTAATAATAATGAGACAATGACCACTTTGAATTAGGGGTGCGCAAAATTATCTGCTAATCCGAAAATCCGTCATATTCGATCTGATCCGATCCAAAAATTAGGATATTTGATTTTTATTATTTGATCGGATCAAAAGAGGGTCGGGTATCCGCTAAGATACGGGGCGAGTTAGAGTCACATAATTAAAAATTCGCGGGTATCCGATCCGCCCCGCATATATATATTTTTTATTTTTATACACACTATAAAATAATAAGTTAGAACCAAATAAGTAATTTTATTGAACAAATTGCATTACAAATATGAGAGACTATAGTTTATTTACAAGATTCATTTGTAAAGGTCATGATCTTATATTTTATAGAAAAAAGTTTAATTAATGTGGAACATATATATTAAAAATTGTGCTACTTATTTCAAACTTTTATTGATTTTGATTTCTTTTAATTTTTTTCCTTTATCTTATATTCTCTTCATATGCTTGTTTCTTGGTGGGAAACCTTTTTTTAGAAAAAAAAAATTATTAAATCTTAGATGAATGTGTAAAATATAAAATTAAATTAGTATAAATCATTTTTTTAAAAAAATTAAATGATAAACGGGACGGAACGGGTACCCGCTGATCCGACCCTATCTTATCGGGTACCCGCTGATATGCGGGGCAGGTAAAAATCAGAAAATGACTGACCTGTAAGGTGCAGGTCGAATCAATCAAATGGTGAATGGGACGGGTATACGACCCGCGCCAACACCTACTTTGAATTATCACACCATCCTTCTTGATAGGATTGGTACTAGAGGTAGGGAGGGGAGTCGGCTGCATCCGGTCTTCTTTTCATAGATGTCATTCACGCAATATTATATTTCGAAGTCATTGCATGGCTAAGCTGCAAAAAAGTACGAACACTTGTTATTATATAGCTTAAGATTCAAAACGTTAGAGCATAACCCTCCACCTAACACAATTGAATAATGAATATTCACGATTGTCAAATCTGTCAAAGCACAGTTTGAGGACAACCCATTCCAACCTGCAAAAGATTTTTTACTTTTCTAAAGTTGTTGAGAGCTGTAAAAAGACTTACCATGCTTACATCTTCCGAGCCTTGGGAGTTAAAAATGAAGGCACTGAGTGCTATAAAAAGGGGGCTAGAGGCTGCCTAGAAGCATATCAGCCTAAAACAAGAATTTGTAGTTATGATGGGAAGCAAAGCAAAAGCAATGGGGTCTGGGCTGACTCCTCTTCTTACCACTCTTTTAGTGGTATTTGTTGCTCTTGGCTTGCCCTCAGAAACTGCAGCTGATGATCACTACAAGTATTCATCTCCTCCTCCTCCTTACCACTATCCCTCACCACCACCTCCAGAGCATTTACCTCCACCAGTGTACAAATACAAGTCCCCACCACCACCTCATCATGTTTACAAGTACAAATCTCCACCACCCCCACCACCACACCCAGTTTACAAGTATAAGTCGCCACCACCACCTCCTCATCCGGTACCACACCCAGTTTACAAGTATAAGTCACCACCACCACCTCCTCATCCGGTACCACACCCAGTTTACAAGTATAAGTCACCACCACCACCTCCTCATCCGGTATACAAGTATAAGTCTCCTCCGCCACACCACACCCAGTTTACAAGTATAAGTCACCACCACCACCTCCTCATCCGGTACCACACCCAGTTTACAAGTATAAGTCACCACCACCACCTCCTCATCCGGTATACAAGTATAAGTCTCCTCCGCCACCACCACACCCAGTTTACAAGTATAAGTCACCACCACCACCTCCTCATCCGGTACCACACCCAGTTTACAAGTACAAGTCACCACCACCTCCTCCCCCAGTTTACAAATACAAGTCTCCACCACCACCAGTTTACCACTACAAGTCACCACCACCTCCTCCCCCAGTTTACAAATACAAGTCTCCACCACCTCCTCACCACTACTAAGCAATTGCTTCTGAGGTAATAACACTTGTTCAATATACCCACTTCTGCATGATAAAACATATCTCTATCAACACAAACTGTCATGTCTATCATGCTAAGTGCCTTCACTTCATCCACCAAAATGACTGCTAGAAAATTTTTTTTATGTTACCAAAGAAAGGCATCATTTTTTCCCTCTGTTATCAAGAACTTGTACAGTATATAGATTAAAGAGTTTTTTTTTAACTAGCTTATCAACTTAGAAATGCATATAGCTGATAGCCAGCTGAATATTTGCAGGCACAGGAGAAGGAAACCAGTGTTTGAGACCTTCTTGAAGATGTAGAAGCATAAGAATAAAAGCCCAATGTGAAGATGATGATTTCAAGTTTTTCTACGTTACCATTTCTTTATCGAAATTGGTTGTAGCGCCTTAGTTCCTTTGTTTATGGGATTTGTATCGTTTTACGTACCATGCAGTACATGTCATGTTTGTAAGGTTTTCTATCCTGCCGGCAAACCGCAGGTTCCATGTAATAAATGAATACTATTTATATTACGACACTTTTCTCTGTTTCTCTTATATTTTGTCTTTAATATTCTTAATCATATTTTTAACAAAAATATTCAAATACTTAGGTAATCTGGTCTAATGCTAATTGTATGTTTTACTTTTCTTTTTCACCTGCTCCCCTTTTCAACTCAAAAGGATGCAATAGTTTGTGATCACTGTTTAAGACCGAAACGTGATACTAATGAATATATCATTGAAACTCAAGGAAACTAACATTATGAAAAGTGTAAATCTTGATTTGATGCAACTATTTATTCGTGGAATCTATAGTTACAAAACTCAAATTCTGACTGCGCTATTGATAAAGTATTAATGACGCTATCATCATTATTTATCCCTAACTAGTTTCGACTACAACAGAACCCAATATTTTTCCCCATGATAAACTAACTCTTGTGCTTTTTCTTTAGAAGATGAAAGGAAATAATTGCTCGCATAATCTCTAATGATTACAAAAGCAGCCAAAAAAAAAATAGTAGGACACTCTTCCCATGACCCTTAAGATTTTACATATCGAATGAATTAAGGAACATAGGATCTTCGTGCTGCACAGCAAATTCATGCTTGTGATGCAAGTACTAAAAATGCATCCACATATGCTTCATGAATTTGGGATATCATCATAGTTTTTTAAGCATTTTTTTTATTTTGTGATTACATTTCTTGTCTGACAGCTGGACTCAATCGAAAAACACAAGTAACAATAATATCTCGAAGTATGATCAGTTCCAACTTTCAAGCTTACGAAATTGTCAAAAGAGAAAACAAAAAATAAGGGCTGTCAAAACTTTCTTAGTGAATCTGACTTCGTATTACGTGATAACGATATGGAATTGATGTCAAAACTCTCTTCTCTGAAGACATCTAACTCGTAAATGAGAATTTTATATGGGGTTTTCATGGCAAACCGAATTCTGAAATGTGAAAGGATATCATGCTAACCTTCTTCAATCTTTTTTTTTTTCTTGTTTCTACCAAAATTAAACGGATCAAAATTGCAGTGTATCTCTTATGGAACATGATTTCATATCATCTTCTATTAATCCATAAAAGTGCTCTTTTTGCAAATCTCAGTCATTCATTCTTTTGCTGCCCAACTGCGGATTAGCCAAAGAACCATAAGCTTTCTAATCAAGTATTCACCATCAAGAAAATTCAACAAATTGAACTCAAAAATATACTCTATTTTTCTTCTTAACCTTCATCAGTTCTGGGCTCTCCAGTTTTCTTGAAGTACAAATGGCTAGTTGAAGGTAGGGCTGCAAACGAATCGAGCTGCTCGCGGCTAGTTGAAGGTAGGGCTGCAAACGAATCGAGCTGCTCGCGAGCGGCTCGAGTCGAGCTCGAGCTCAGAATATTAAGCTCGTTAGCTCGCGAGCCGGCTCGCGAGCTTGGGTATATATATATATTTTTTTATTTTTATTTTTATTTAATAATAAAATTACGTATATTATATATTTTTTTTTATTTTTTTTTATAGTAAAATTACGTATATATCCTTAATATTTTATTATTTATTAAGAAAAAAATATTATTTTATTTATTTTTTTAAAATAAAATAATTATTTTTTATTTTTTTTCGAGCTCGAGCTCGGCTCGACTTGATTCGAGTCGAGCTCGAGCTCGAAATTTGCCGGCTCGAGCTCGAGCTCGAGCTCGAGCTTGGTAAAATTTAGTCGAGACTCGGCTCGATTAGCTCAAAGCTCGACTCGGCTCGGCTCGTTTGCAGCCCTAGTTGAAGGACAGCAAATTATCATCTCATAATAATGTCATCATGACGAATGATCAATAGAACAAATAAAGGAAGCATTAAAATGGAAAAAAAAAATTAGGGTATCATTAAGCATGCATTGGAGCAGGAGGATCAGGCCTCCGAATCTAATTAAATGTGAAATGATTGGTAGGGACGTTCGGAAGATTACATATAAGACTTTGAGAGATTTTGAAAGGTACACATATTAGCCAGAGAAAATAAGAGTCCGTCAAAGTGTCCCATAATTGGAGTTGAATAGTCTGCTTTTAAAAAATAGGGGAGTTTCGACAACTCATTGCATGGTGACGTCAAGATCATTATCTGACAACTAATTGAAAAGACTTCTACTGTTTTGCACATGTCGAGGGTCTAAGTTATTTGTCCTATAAAAAAAAGTTATTTGTCCTATTATTTTTTGTTCTTGTTGAAATTGTTTAGTTATGATGTTATTATCATGAATTTCATGGCTGAGAAATAGTTATATGGTACTATTAATTATTCTCTCTTCTTATTGAAATTGTTTTGTTGAGATGTTATTATCTTGAATTTCACGTCTGAGAAATAGTTAGCTGGCATGTTATTGGAGTTATGCTAATATTGATGTTAAAAAATATATTTTATATTTTTAATTCTGTAAGCACACAAAATATAAGGCTGACCCACTATTAAAAAAAATTATTTTTGGACCCACTATAAAATTCGAATATTATCCACCACGCCTGACATCTGACTTGCTAATCTTTTGCTTCCTAAATTAAACTTTTGCCCACAGTTAAACACTTGACCACCCACTTTTTTTTTTTTGATATATTCTGTTCCCTGCAGGCTATACAGAAGAACCCCAAAAAAAAATGTATCGGTTGACATTCAATTTTTTGGAGGAAGGAGGTAGGCACACACACAATCCTGTGAATGTAGCCAGGAAGTTGGATGTGCAAAACTTAGATGTGCCCATTCTTGTCTTTTTTTTTTTTTTTTTTTCAGTTAGGGGTATCCGGGCCTACACCCGACTAATCCCCTAACCCTAGGAGAGCGGGCCCCACCGATCCTCAGGAAGATATCCCAGGCTGAATCGAAACCAAGACCGACGCCTTAACTAAGAACGCGAAACCCAGCCGAGCAACCCGTGGGGGGCTATGCCCATTCTTGTCTAAGCCATCAAGAAATTCTATAGTTCTATTTGATTTCATGATTAAAAAGAAAAAGAGCACAATATCGTCTTAAAAATTTGTCAATACAAATAGTAAATACTTGTACTTCTTCTTGCAAAAATGTACATTCTTAATAAAATATTCATCAGAAGGTGTAGAGAAAAATTCTGACCAGGAAGGGGAAAGTTTTTCCTAATTGACAATTATAATTCTAGATGCAAATTTGCCCAAGTTAGTTTAAGAGACCATTTCTATGGTTTAGTTGTAGCCATCATTCTTGAAAAAAATGAAAACTCCAAGAAATCAAAAGAAGGGACAAAAACACTTACCGGATTCTTGACGACAAGGGTTATTCAGTAAATAAAAATAATAAACATGTGATTTCAATTTTCAATGCCACCAACTTATACATCTTTTTGCAGTTTTTATTGAAAAGCATGCCTTATATTTCTGGAGGGCACCTAGGAATTGGACTTGGAGGTATCATTCTGCCTAACTTCTTGATGGATAGTTTTCAAGTAGGTAGCATTGGATGATAGCAATTAGGCTCCTATATCTGAAAATTAACTTTGTGATTAGCACAAATGGAAAGCTTTCACAAGTTAAGATGCCACTATTAGCCATTAATGTTCCCCAAATTTATCATTATCTCTTTATCTCCATATTGTTACTCCACCCCTAAAACCATACGAGCAATAATTGAAGGAATTTTATATAAAAATTTCAAATTCATGATGTCTTGTCACATTACTAGTATACAACTTCTAATGCTTACTAAAGTATCATATCAAAATTATTGATCGAAATAATTGAGAAAAGATGATTCTCCACTCACCCAAGTCTTCTTTTGTTTTTTGTTCTTTATTATGTGATTGATTAGATGAGCAACTGATTAGCAAAAGCAAGACCAAACAGATAATTACCTACTAATCTTACAATGAATCTAAAAAAGCTTACTCAAAAAAAGGTTTAGGGAAAAACAAAAGGCATTATATATCCCTCCTCCTCGTACAAGATCAATAATGTCTGATAGTTGGCGCTCAAAAAGACTTGGTACAATGACTCTCGTTACTCTACAGTCCTATACCAGTGGCTCTGTAAAAATTGTCCAATTTCCCTGAAGACGTTAATACACTCTGTATCAGGAACTGGGTAAAAACAAAAGGATCCCTCATTAGTTACTGCAAAATTCGGCCGTTAGCATGTAGTGGAAGCAATGTTCAGCTGCCATTCGATTCTTCGGGAAGTTCCTGCATGACACAAATCTCAATCCTTACATGTCAATGTTAAAACTTATCAAAAAGAAGCAGCAGATTGACCACCAACATTTACCTGAACTTCCTGTTGAAGAAGTTCTTCGAGTTGTACCCTTATATTGGAGAAGGAAGGTCTGTTCTCGGGTATCGCTTCCCAACATCTTTGCATCATATTTAAGAGCTTTGGATGCGCATCCTTGGGAAGCTCAGGCCGAAGACCCTAGAGGGAACATACATCGAGTCAATTCGACATTAACAAAAAAAAAAAAGTAACTTCTAGGAAGAAATGGTAAAAATAGTACTCCTTACATGAAATGGAAAAAGACTGTTATCTCGCTAAGGGAATTAAAAAAAAATTGCAAGGCACTTAGAGACGAGACAATTGTTCCGAAAAAAAAAAATTAATTTTACCATCTTGATTGTGTTGCCACACTCTCTGAGGAACAGTCTTATCAAAGCGCTCTATTCAACCAAAGGAGGTATAGCGACTATTACTCGCAACCAAAGGAGGTACATCACTGAGTGTCATGTTAACATTTCTTTACATCTTGTTACTTCAACTTCCATTAACAAAGTACTTGCAGTTCACAACTACCTCACTTCCACCAAAATGAATTGTCTCAATTTATGGTTTGCCCCAAGATTAATGTCCAGATTCCCAAAACTGAAAAGTTTTATCAGCAACCCTTCCTTTGTAAGTACTTTGTGGATCAGTGAGACTAGCCCATCCCCCATGTTTCCCATCTCATACCTAATTATCTAACATGACGACCTTACATGTTCTCCTATTCATCCACATACCATTCTAATTTTCCAACTATTACTTGATATACTTGCCTAGCCAATATA